TTTTCAAAGTTCATGTTTTAAACATCCCATTGAAGGTCACGCAACCACTTTTCAAATCAAAGCAACAGCTAAGAGAGTAGCAATTACTATTTAATATATTTCAGACAGTAACATACCACACAATTTTGAACAACTCAGACATTTGATCATTTTTTTATACCATATATAAACTGTATTGCATGACTGAAAAATCCAGATGGGCACATGGTCTTGGAAATTCTGGGCAACTTGAACTCACGCAGCAGCACATAAATGATGAAAAGTAGCTTTGCTACCCTGCTTGGAAACATTTATATTTTCTTATGTCACTGACACCTTGTATTTTAACCCCAGCCCTGAAAAAAATGCACTCCATAAGTAAGAAACTTCGTCAGTTCTTTCCAGTATCTAAGCTAAAATTGGGAGTAGGGTGATAGAAAAAGAAATTTCATAGTGATGTAACTGTGAACCCAGAGAGAAGTCTGAAGAGAATTCCACATCCAAAAGTAGTGCAGATATAATTGCGATAATGCATATTGTGACATCTCACAACCTCCCAAACTACAACCTGCAATTCTCAGTTACAAAACATGGAATGTGCTGGGTATTCCAGCTTAAAAGAGAATTCTAACCAGCTTGCACACAGGAGGGCAAGTGAGCCAACACAAATAGTGAAAGAAAGGTATAACCTGTGTGGTGTCCTTTACCAGGACTCAAATCCCTAAGTTCAGGTGATGCAAAGGTGCTCAGATCAGATCATCATTCACAAAATCTCCGAGAGGCAACTAAGAATTCCTTTTTAAAAAAATGAGAGTCAGGCTTTTCCCTGAAAATCCAGTAAAAATAGGAGGTAACAGCATTATCTCTTTCTTAACAGAACTCTTTAGGATTCTTTATGATAGGAATAGTTCAAAAGTTAGAGTCAGATGCTGCTGACATTTTATGTGCAGACTCGTTGGGAGAGAGAAAAAATAGATTTGACACACTTAGGCCCCTAAATCTCTATTTTTCAAAGCAGTGCCTTAACAGCCTGATGTCCAGCTATCCGTGCTCTGCTCTGCAAAATGAGATGTAGGTTGGAAACCCCTGAGGTCAAGAAAAGTACTTGCTGCTATAAAATGGGGAGAAGAACAGCTCTTCTTCCTCCAACATGTTTATTAGCAAAGTGTCCCTTGCACCAAATTGCTGTTTGTTTTTGCACAGTTGAGTTCTTTTGAAACATTTCCTTTCTTTTGCATGCTGCTTTTATAAAGAAATACTCAGAGGTCTTGTTAGGCCTCTTTATTCCTCAAATAACACAATGTTCTTTTTTGGGGCTCCTTTGTCTGAACAAACTCGGATTTTTCTTTTCCAATGCCCAGTTTTCCTCAACAGCCACCCAAATGGCTGCTGTGTTGGCTTAGGAGAAAAGACAGGAGATTAACCACCCTCCCATTAGTAAAAGGTGATTTGTTCTGCTTTAAAACTACAACACATTGGCAAAGCAACAGCGGAAGGGCAAACCCAGCTACTACCCACAGTTTAATTGCTCTGGCAAAGAAAAGAACACGAGGCCTTCTCCAGGGATGTCAGTCAGGGCAGTTAATTAGTTCAAATGAGAAGAACTTCTACGGAAAAAAAAGCATTTTTGTGTGGTGGCAAAAGAGCACATAGCAGACTTACCAGGGTTGGTAAGTAATGGTATTTGGTATTCCTCTATTTGCACTAGTTTGCTGCCACAGCTTGAAATAAGCAGCACAGCTGATGACTGGGAGAAGTATGATGCAATGTTCTTACACCAAATGTTAACAAAGCCACTTGCCAAGTTTTCATTCCCCAAAGCAGCTTCTACCATCAAATACCTACTTAAATCACCAGAGGAAAAAAAACATCTTTGTCTGCACTATGATTTTTCCTATTGCAATCCTAAATGAAACGCTGGAGAAGGCAAATCATGGCAACACTACAAGATGCTTGTTTTTTTTTTCTTTTTTTGCTTATAAATGTACATCCCACTTGTAGCCTAGCAACAAAAGCAGCAGCCTGGGTGAAACGGATGGAACCTGCTGCTGGGGCTCTCTCCTCAAAACAGGAGCCATCTTTGGAGTGTAACTGGACCAGAGATTTCATCATTCTGCACTAAAGCCACCTCCAGATGTTAGAGGCTCCTGCAGCCAACTCAGCAGTGTCGGCTTTCAATCTGCCACTTCTTTTCCCATCCCCATCAAACATGAGGTAGATCACAGAGAGACAACACGTGTCCACCTCATCTCCACATTCAGAAAAATAAACCTTCTTTGCTAAACAGGGTTAGTGCAAGCTCTTATTTCAGTCCTGATCGCTGCAAGCTTGTTTCTGCTCCTTAGTTTCTAACACCCCCACCGGTAAACTGCAGGAGGTTTGGCTCTACCCAGGCATGTTCATGGCCCTTTTCTGTACTTTTTCACTATTTCATGTATCTTTTTCTAACAGGATCCATACGGGTGATTTTTTAATTGCGTAGTGATACAAAGCCAGTCTTCACTCCCCCCTTCCCATTATAATAAAAATAAATTGTTTATAGTTAAAAAAATAAAAATATCAATACTCATAATTAAAATCCCTATCTCTGGCTATCAGGTATCTGACCTTGAAGTTATTTGGTGTATTCCTCCCCTGGAAAGGACGATCCTGCAGGCCTGGGATCTGTGCAGCTGCCACGCAATCCCTGTGACACAGAGCTCATGCTCAGGGGAGAGCGAGTGGTCAGGGGGAGATTTTGGGAGCAGGTGGGGTAGCAGGGAGCTGCTATGTGTGCAGAGAGGAGGCAGCCCCACAGTGCCGGCTGTGTGGCACTGCCAATGCCCAGCCCTGCTTCCACAAGGACAGGGTGACACATGGAGCTGGGACCCTGCGGAAGGGATAGGATAACACATGGGGCCGGACCCAGTGGAGGGGACAGGGTGACAAATAGATCGGGGTCTCTGCAAAGGTAGCACAGGTGACAGATGGGGCTGGGCCCTTGCAGAGGGACCAGGGGGTGGCATGGGGGGCTGGTCCCCTATGGAGGGGACTGAGGTGGCAGATAGGGCTGGGTGCCTGTGGAGGGGACGGGGTGACGTACAGAGCAGAGACCCCAACAGAGTGAACAAAATGACACATGGGGCTGGACCCCTGTGGAGGGGACAGGGGTGACAAACAGATCAGGGCCTCTGCCGGGGTGACAGAGGAGACCGATGGGGCTGGTCCCCAGTGGAGGGGAATGGGGCGACACGCGGGGCTGGTGTCCTGTGGAGAGGGCTGAGGCGACGCGGGGGGCTGTGTCCCCGCCCAGCCGGCGGTACAGCAGTGGGGGTGACATCGGCAGTGGCTCCTCCGCCCGCGGCCCATCCCCGGCCCCGGTACTCACCGCGGCCGCCGGCCCCACGCCGCCCTGGCCCCGCTGCCCGGAAGAGCCTCGCTCGGCGGCGCGGGCGAGGGCCTGGGGGAGGTGGCGGGGCCGCCCGGCTCCGCCTCGCTCCGCCCCGGCGGGGCAGGGCCCGGCAGGGCCGCGGTGTGCGGGCAGCGCCCAGGGCAGCGTCGCCCTCCGCCCACCCGCCAGCTCCCCTGGGGCACCGGAGCTGCCCGGAGTGCCTTACAGTTCTCTCACAGTTAATTACATTAATTATTCCATAGAATCTTCTCAGCTGGAAGGGACCGACAGGGATCATCAGAGTCCCACTCCTGGCTCTGCACAGGACACCCCCAACAATCCCACCATGTGCCCGAGAGCGTTGTCCAAACGCTCCTTGAGCTGTATCAGGCTTTCCTGGGGAGCCCAACCACCCTCTGGGAGAAGAAGCTTTTCCTAACATCCAGCCTAAACTTCCCCTGGCACAGCTCCGGCTGTTCCCTCAGGTCCTGTCCCTGGTCACAGCTGCCCCTCTGCTACCCCTCGTGAGGAAGCTGCAGACCCCGATGAGGTCTGACCTCGGTCTCTTCCGGGCTGCACTGGATTGGGATTGTTGTTACAGGTTTATTATTAGAAACCCAAGCCACACTAAAGACCCCAAACCTGGCGATGAGATGACAATAAACTGCTTTGTACGAGGACAGCACCGACAGCTCAGGAGGCTGCTTTGAAGGTTGCTCAAGTACAAGAGGCCTTGTCACGTCACTCTCCCCTAAAGGAGGAGATAAAAAAATGCATTACCAGCCACATAAGGATTATCCACGTGTCACTGTCACCCCCTTGCTGGGCTTGCTCACACTCAAGCAGTACATCCCTTCCTCAGCTGGGTTCCCAACCCATAACCCTGGTGTCTGGTATAGGCTCTGGGAAGGCAGCAGTGCTCCTATAAAAGCATCGCTGTTGCTTTCCTCTTGGACTCAGCCTGTTCCCAGGCTCAAAGCAGCAACAGTCTAATCTGCACATCGTGGTTCTGTTATTTTGTCCATGTTTTTCAGGGCAGGATGTGTCTTCATCTCTATTTAAGCAATTTAAAGCTGCTGGTACCCAGAACTGATGTTCTGGATGCAGCTGTGGAAGAGGAAATCAGCACTGGGACAAATGGTGGCCTCGCCACTGTAACTTTCCTTCTTTCTGTTACTCCCAGGGGTGGCTGGGCTGCTGTGACAGTAGAAACACTCAGGAATTTCAACCCTTCTGTTTTCCTCTTTCACTTCCTGAAGTCCACATCTGTACTGTGCAACCTTCTGCCTCATGCCCACGGTCTGTAACTCAACATGTCACGACGGGTGACACTGTCCCTGGGGCTGACAGGGGCACAGTGTGAGCACAGGGATGCGATCAGGCACCTCTGGGATCAGCGGGGGCACGGCCACAGCCAGGGGAGGGCAGGGGGTCAGCCCAGGCAGGATCACGGCAGTGGGCACCTTGTCCTGCAACTGCCATGGGCGTGGGGAGTGCCCTTTGTGGGATGACACTGCTCCCTTGGGTGCCAACCAGACCCGATCAATACCGACCCGACCCAACCAGTGCCCACCTGACCAGGACCTACCAGTACCGACCCGATCAGTACTGACTCGACAGGACCTGACCCGACCAGTACTGACCAGTACTGACCAGTACCGACCAGTACCAACCTGACAGGTCCCTCCCAGCTCAGCATGGCTCAGACTGTGCCAATCCGACCCATGAGAGTCCATCATGAAAGAGTGAAAACTAGCACTGATATCCTTGCACTGCATTTTTCTTGCACAACAAAATTTGTGCATGATTTGTGTACTTCCCTGCTAGTGTCTTTAATTCTTTTTAATCTTGTCAGGCACATCCCAGTCTCCACGACCACTGACAGATCCAACACTGAATATATCTTTGATGGTATCTGGCCATAACACTTGTTGCTAAAAACGTTGCAATGACTGAGCAGGAAAGATACCTTCTTCAGAAAATGGAAACAGCTGGATGTCGTGCACAGAAATAAATTAGTTGTCTGTGGGTATAACTGGTGTTGTGGTATATGGTTTACATTCTGAGGACTGATGTGTTCTGCCTCTAATAATTTTCTTATATGCCAAAGACACTAACTTGTTAATCTGCTTTAAAAGCACACCTGGGTCGTTTCTGCATTTTACAATTGAAATTCTGCTTGCAGACTTTCTAATGTAGATGTATGAATACCTAAATTCTTTCTCTGAGTTTGTACATGCAAAGCTGCATTCATTCCTCTAGTTAATAATTTGCTCTATACTCAGTGCAGATAGTTTTGAACAGCTACGTAACTTCTCTTTCACTAGACGAGTATTTTCTCCCATTGCTGAGAAACAAATCTGATATTTTGCCAGGAATCCTGAAAAGTTTTGAGATGGCTCTGAGCAACCACCACCAATTGCTCATGAGCTACAAACTGCCAGGCAAATGGGTGAATTTGAGGAGTCACAAAAAATATCTGACCTCTGACTACATGTGTTTTTTCATCTGCAATAATTTTCACAGTATAATATTTTTGACTGTATTAAAAAATACAGAATCCAAGAGGATGTGCCAGCTCCCAGATTCACATGGGGGTTTTGGCCTGATCCTGTTTCTGTTCTACACTGAGGCCTGGTGTACTGATCTTACTGGTGCCTTCCATGAGCAGAAGGTTGGGTGGGTGGGCTGAAGGGGCTCCCATGGTCTCCAGCCAGCTCTCTACCTCGGAGAATCAGGAGGGACAGACGCCAGAATGTGGTTTTGAGCACATGGATCTAAACCTGAATATTGTGGACTTGTTCTTCAAAAGTCCTGGCCCCCCCAAAAGACTCCTACACAGCCAGTCACATGTGATCAGTCAGTACCTCATGGGTGAACACAAGTGTGTGTTTACTTACAGGTTCATGCAGAGTGTAGTGTCTTCCTTGTTAAATTACAGCCAAGTACTAATGGTACATACAGAAAACATGTGCCTAGAGAGTATGACTGGATTAATCAAATAAGCCCTACCTCAGCTCCTTTTGAAGCATTCCTTTCAGTTGCCTTATTTCCCAAGGAATATATTAATAAGATTCCTGCAAATCCCCAGATGTATTTATTGAACTAGGGATGAATTTAATCATCTGCATGTTTCCACCTGGAAGAATTCCCAGACTATTACAGGGCAAATTCTTCTCTACAGTGACCAGAAAAGGAGGATTTCTATTCCTCTATAATTACTGCCTCATCTAAGAAATTAGTTTTACTGTATTTGCTTTTCTCAAACTCTCCTGTATTCCTAAATGGTCATTAGTGTTTTTTGGTTTTCTCCATTTCAAATTGGCTCTGGGAATCAATGGAGAAAATGAAGAGCTCCTGCACATTGATTTTATGAACATAAATGTCCAGTAAGTGGCACTGCAGGACCAGGAATTCCAAACCCTGGATGATGAACAGTGCAGTCACAGAGTAAAGGCAAGCGTGGGAGATGTCAAGACTTATCTGTTCCACGAAAAAGGTGGTTGTAGAGCAGGTGGGGAATGATGTGGTGTCATTCCTGAAGGTACAGTGCAAGGAACTGTGATGTATTCAGCTGCTGGCTCTGGAATATGGTATCAGAAACTGGCCTTGGCACCAAGCTGGGCATTATCAGGGGTTTGCCAGAAGAAACCAGCAACATTTCTGGGAACTGTGCATCAGCGCTTGATGGGAAGTGCCTGTGAAGGCTTTGTGCTGGGTTTTGCCATCAGGAGCAGAATGCTGGGCAAGGTGAACCATGTATATACAGCATTTCCTGTGGTCTCCTGACGTAATGTACATTAATTTAATGTAGAAAATCCAAAGCCCAGAGTGGAAAGGACGTCAGTACAGTCTGGGAGAGTTCAAGGATTATTTCTGTAAATGAACCAGAGATGCCTGTGAGGCTGTGCCACTATATCAAAACCATCACCCGGTTTTTTCATTCTCAGCGGATAAGGAGTAAACTATTATGTTGGGAAATTTGATCAAACAGACAAGTAACACTACACTTTTTGGCAATATAAATTGTAATAAAACTCTTATATAAGCTGAGAGAGTGTTACTTACAAAATCACTTAAATGTTTTGGCTCCATCTGCAATATTTGAACTCAGCTCTAGGTTACTCATGCTATACTGTGCCAAGCTAAACTGATGCACACTCAATTTTCCTATTTCTCTAGATGCATAGTTATATTGGATAAGAATGAAGAAAATGAAGATGAAAAGCCAATCTGCATTTAGAAGGGACATAAAACTATGTTTAAAGGGATAAACCAGCCTTTCAAGGGGATTAGGAAGCCATTTCCTCTATGATGTGGCTATTTTATAAATGCCTCTTGTGGGATCGTCTGTGCCCTGAAGCATCTGTGCATCTGTGCCAGCTGCTGTTGGCAGCAAGACCCTTGACTAGGCTGAGGGATCTGGGATGTCAATATGCACCTGTGGGGGAAAGAGGAGGTGCAGGAATATCCCACAGGGCACACGGAACAGCCACAGGATCTTAAAACTGCTCCAACCAGACTTGACAATTTTTTTCGTCGTCATCTAGAGGCCAGATATTGCTGAATCCTTATACTTTCTGCTCCTGAGTTTTTCTAATGGCTTTATAAAATAGCAGTTAAAAATAGGAACTCTCAAATGTTTATTCCTGCAGGCACATAGGGTGGAACTTAGGATGCAGAAGCAGAAGACACACAAGACGTTGCTTGCAGCAACACAAGCAAACAGGTGAGAATAAGGCACGGCAGCACAACATATGACAAAACAAGACACCACAGGACAACTTGGAATAGCACACAGCATGTCACCACATGCAGCAGCACAAACAGCATGGAACAGCACTTGACACTGTGTCACGGCATGATAGATATACCTGAAAGGTGGTAGGAGTGCCTAGAGAGGGGTTAGAGATTCATAGCAGCATGAAATTCCTATAAAGGTATGGAAAATGTTTAGAAAACCACATGAAGGTCCTAAAAAACTACAGGCAACTTCTGGAAAAACCGTGGGAAATTCTTAGAAAGCAAAACTGAATTCCTAGAAAGCTGTGGGAGGACTCCAGGAAAACAAAATGTGAATTCTGAGAAAATTGGCTACAAATTCCCAGAAAGCTAGAGGGAATTTCTTATGAAGTAAGGAGGAATTGCTATAAAGCAATGGAGGAATCCTAGAAAGAAATGCACAGTTCTTAGAAAGCTGCTGCAAATTTCTAAAGAGCAGAAGGGAAATTCTGGAAGCAGAAAGGAATTGTTATAAATAGAACACGATTACTAAAAAGCATCAGGGAAATTTCTGGAAGGTCATTAGGGATTTCTTGAAAGCATGTGGAAATTCCTAGAAAGAAAATCTAAGTTCCTGGTAAGGGGAAAGAAACACCTGGAAAGCAGTGGGGAGGTTTCCTAGAAGGCAACATGAAATTTCCTGAAATCTGGGCGGAAACTCCTTGAAAGCTGGAGGGTATATTCCCAGAGATCACTAGGAAAATCCTACAAAGGCATGTGAAATTCCTAAGAAGATAGAATCATAGAATCATTTAGGTTGGAAAAGACCTCTGTGATCAAGTCCAACTGTTCCCCCAGCACTCCCAAGACCACCACTCATCCACATCCCCAAGATCCACATCTGTGTGTCTTTTAAATCCCTCCAGGGATGGTGACTCCACCACTGCCCTGGGCAGCCTGTTCCAGGACTTGACAACCCTTTGGGTGAAGAAATTTTTTCTAATATCTAATCTAAACCTCCCCTGGAGCAATTTGAGGCCATTGCTCCTCATCCCAGTTGGGTCCCATCAGTCGCAGGCTCTGGTGGCTCTCTTGGCTCCCCTGAGGTTCCACTGGTTGGTGAAACTCCCTGTGCACTGTGCTGGATTTTTCTGCTGATGACTGTGCTGGCACTGAGTGTGGAAAAATGCAAGAAAACAATGGAAAAATCCTGGATGAGCTGTCCATAGTTCCTAAAGACACAGGGGAAATTCTTAGAACAAAATACTGAAAAAGTCACAGGAGAAAATCACTGTAAAGAGCAGGGGGAAAAGTAAGACTAGAAAGTAGATAGGAACAGATCCTATAGCCTTTCCTGAAATGGAACTTGTATCTAGAAGACATCCCTGATTTTAGTGTCTCCTAAATGGGGGGGACTGGTTTGGTGGACTGAGAAAGAGACACTGGATGCCTGTGTTGGTGAGGCTGAGCCCTGACTTGCAAAGCCCAGCCCCTGTGGCTTTGCAGGAAGGGAGCAGGGAGAACTGGCTGGCTTGGAAGGCCCCTGACCTTGGGACAGATGTTGACAAATGGATGGTGAAACTCAGGGAACATTTCCAGCCTGGGAAAGTACTTTCTGTTAGAGACTGTGTCAGCAATGGTTCTTTGCAACACAGGGCAGGGAAAAGCCAAGGGCATCGAGGCGGAATGAAGAGGGAGATGTTACCCACGTTGTGGGATGAAACAATCCTGCCTAATGTGGTGGGACAGGCACGGAGGCTGGAACAGGATAACATATCCAGATGAGCTAGGGTGAAAGTGGATTTAGGATCATACTGTAGTTTGGGGTAATCCAGTTGGATCAGTGGGTTTTTCAAAAGTTTGAATGAAAGTTTGTCATGAGGAGTGGAGCAGCCCAGAGTTTAGACCTCAGGATGGATTCTTGTTTGGATTCTTGTCCCAGTGTTTCACTGAACTTGGTGGAATGTTTCTGACTGCCATCAAGCCCTGACTGTGTGACTTGACTTTGACAACCAGCATCTTGCCTTGGAGAACAGTTTAATTCCAGAACCTGAAGGTGGAACTGCGACATTGCAACCACAGCAGGGTTGTCTGGGGAGCTGCAGATGGGAAAATGCTGCCTGAGACAGAGCTTCAGCAGTGGGACATTTGGAGTGGTCTGGTCATTGCTGGACTGCTGGTTGACCCTCTCTACCACAGCTGGACCTGCTGTGCTCCTTGGGCACCCTGGGGCTGCTCCCCATGCAGAGAGCCCTGGCTGGGCTCCTGTGGCTCCTTGCAATGAAGGTCTGAAATGCTGCTGTCAGTCTTCACTATGAGCAAGAAGTGATGCTTCTCTTTTTTTGGTAAGTATTAGTTTAATTATCTTTAATTCAAGGATTTGTAGCCTACCAGTGGCAAAGCTGTGAAGTCTGACCATGCTGGATGTGTAATAATGTGAACTTAATAATCAGTTCTAGGGCAAACTGTTGCTCACTTGTTGTAGGTACCAATGACACTCTTCATTATCACATGTCCTGCATTAGAAAACCACACAAATCTTCTATTAAACAGTTCTCCATCCAACAGTCAGGGGCTGGGCTGGAATATGGGTTAGGATCTATTTGATTCTGGCAGGCAGCTCAGGAGTAAATCTGTAACACCAGCTTAGGAGAGAGTGCCACCTACCAAACCATCTGCTGAGAAAATTGTATTATCCACAGTCTCATCCACTGCTGCTAGAAATCACTGTCACAGTCATTGCTGAAGAGTTTTGCAGCTAATATATCTATTTGTATTCTTTTTATCCATCCCCTCAGAATTAATTATTCCTCAGATTAATATCATTCTAATGAATCATTCTGTATCACTGGCTTTATTTCATTTCTGAGATATTAATTAATATGTCAAAGCCATCTTTAACATAAAAATTGCTGTCATTTTTTTCTGTGACTTTCTTTTATTCAATTTTTTTCTGAGGGCCTAAAATGTCTGTCCAGTGTGGAGTGAAAGAAAAAATGAAAGCTATACACTATTTAAAAAAAAAAAAAGCATATGCAAATAAAGCCTAAATTGGGAAGGAATGGCTCAGTCTGTATTTTTGTGTTGATTTACTAGATTATGAGCCATGTCTGTCCAGTGTGGAGTGAAAGAAAAAATGAAAGCTATACACTATTTAAAAAAAAAAAAGCATATGCAAATAAAGCCTAAATTGGGAAGGAATGGCTCAGTCTGTATTTTTGTGTTGATTTACTAGATTATGAGCCATTTCATATAGTAGGTCCTCAGCAATCAGCCCTGTAGGGTTTTTATATACATGGTTTAGAATACAAAATTCAGCAGGACATCCAGTGTCTACATTTGCCAGTGAAATGATCAGAAATTTTGAGATATTTTGTATTTGTTGATGTAGATTAGGTTTTGAAGAAAGGGTCTTGTTAGTTTGCTGTGGATTTCCTGGCACTGTTCTGCTGTGCCGCAGGGATGAGGCAGTCAGAGGAAGCATTTTTCTTTCCATAGAGCTCTCCTCTCCTCTCAGCTATAATTTATTCTCATCATCCTCTGCAGTTTGGCTCTCTACCCACTCTGGATGGAAGTGTTGGCAGGGCAGTAATCCCTCTCCTACCCCGTATCTCTGGCAAATGGAAATCCTGGAAAGAGAAGGGGGGAAATTTTAGGTTTCCCTGCTTGAGCAATTTCCAGGGTGATTTAAGATCTAATAATGGCCTTTGCATTGATGGAGCAGGTCAAGCTGCAAGAGGAAGGTCACTCCAAGTGTTTCTTGCGGGAAAATTTCTTTCTCTGGTCCTGTGGGAGTGAGTGGGTGGAACTGGAAAAACCCCATAAAAAGTCACTGCATAAGCTTTGCCGATTAAATAACACAGTTATTGGCAGCATTGCACCGAGCTGAAATTACCCACAGCTCCTGGGGCTGGGGACTGTTCAGGTGACAGCTTCTGCTCGGATCCCTGGCTGCAGGTTTGGTACTTCTCTTTCTTTCCTGTCTTCCTCATCTCTCCAAAAAGAGCCATTTTGTTGTACAGTCTGGGGGGTTACAGCTGAAACCCCTCAGCTCTGCTCTGGATTTGCAGTTGTAGAGAGAGATCAGTGGTGAGGGAGGGAAAGGGGACCAGAGCCTGAAGGGGCTCTGAGCAGGAAGGGGATGGCAGGTGAATACAGCTCCTTCCCCTTTACAAACAAGGAGTTTAGGAGTGGTTTTCCACCACTCCTAAAGCTTGTGTGTGACACAAAGCTGCTTTTTGAAAGGCTGCTGCTTGATTCCCACAGAGCAGAAATCCTTTCTGCAGGCTCCAAACTCTGTGGCCCAGGGATGGAGTTGGGCTCTCCTGGCTGGGATCAGGGCTGAGCTCCAAGAGTGTCCTGGGAGGGGAGATACCAGGGGAGCAGCAGTGCCTGGTCCTGCCTCCTGAGCATCCTGCAGCCAGTGCATGAGCTGCAGATCCCAGGAAGCAGTAGCACTGCACAGCAAATCCTTCCCATTCATACCCTCCTGCATTACCCTCTGCGTCCAGCTTTGCCACTGCTTGAATTGGCTGCCTCAAACGAGTCATTTAAATTCAGACTTTCATACATGGTGTTTCTGTCTGGGCTTTTTTCATTTTCCTTTTCCCTGTTAGTGTTCAGATTTTCTCACACACTTCACCAGTGACCTGATTGATACCTGGGGATGCTTCATGCACTGGTTGCCATTGGAAATAGTTCACAAGTCAACATCAAAAGGGCACTAATGTGCTTTTTGAGATCAGCCCTACTGAATCCCCCAGACATGGAGGGACATGCCTATAATCTACAGTCAAAAAAAAGTGCCCACACTCAATACTGAATATTTAGGCCTCTCTTTGTCAGTGTCTGGGGACTAGAAATCATTTCTCTCAATGATCCTTTCTCCCTGCTGATGGACCTTTATCATTCAAGACTTATCTTGAGATCCTTGGAGATGTTAATAATAGTTTTTACTTCTGCCATTCTTTGCTCTGTGCTTTTTTATTCACTACTCTAGTTTTCCCTGTAGAATGGCCAACATGATAATATCAATTTAAACAATGTGCTTCAGTGATCTTTAAAAGAGTTCATATATTTCTTTTCATTTCCAAGAACCCCTGATTTTCCTGAGAATGTTACATTGAGGCTGAAGTTATCTTGGCTTATTAGTATAACCAGCTATTTACAAACCTGACAGCTCTTTTAGACATTATTTCTGATAACATGCCTCAGCTGATTTTACATTTAATAAATCCCATGCATGCAGACAAAAAAAAGCACCCTGAGAATGACGTAAGTACAATTTGTATCCATGTACTGATATATTTTGTAAATTCAGTTGCCTTTCTCCGGCTCTAGTGTGTGCACTATTTTTTAGGTTAAAGCATGTTTTATCTCTGAATCTCTGCTATGGGCTTTGTTGAACTCTGACTTGGTCTTCCAGTAGCTAATTACTGTTTGGATGAAGGTCATTTGGATCAAGGTGCTACTCAGTATTTATAAATATATTTTTAAATCTTCATACCTTCTCCAAACAAAGTCCCCTGGCAGGAGCAGGTGCCGCACAGGGTGGGAATAGAGACACAAAAGCTTTCCTTTGGTGGGCATGCTTTGATTCCAGCATCAGTCAGAAGTGATTGAAAAGCATGACATAAAATTAAGCAGCCGTTTTATGTTGGTACCCAGGGAGAATTAAACAAGCTCTGTGCTTGTTTCTGAATCTCCAGGAAACACCTGCACCAACAACTTGTTGCTGGCAGTTTTAGGCAAGTCCAGACCTGGATGAGAGCTGATCCTTCTTGCACTGGCTGAGGGCAGGTTGGTCAGAGAGCAGCAAAAGGAAAATTCACCTAACACTCGTGTAACTGATTCCCAGAGTCATGTCAATCAGCTTCCTAATGCCACCACTAAATTTACTTAAATAATAATAGGGGTTTAATGGATTTCACTTTTGTTCCTCACCTGGGTATGACTATTAAGTCTTGAAAGTTTTAAAAGCTTATAAATTAGCTGAAATGACAAATGAGTACAGCAGGGTGCCCTGCATGAACTGTTGGTGTTTGAAACCACTGTAGCTGCTGAAGGGGCTTTCCTCCACTAGTGCAGTGAGGGCTGATCCAGACTTCTTGTTCATCCCTGAACTGGTCACACAAACTTAAAGAAGACGCAGGAAACAGGCTCTGGCTTCTGAAACTGATACTTGAATTGCCAAAAAAATAGGGCCTGTGAGAGTCTTACAGGCTTTAGTGGGTAGGAAGTTAAATTAATGTCAAATGAAACTTTGAAACCCTCCCTCATCTGAGCAGCATTACATTCCTCCAGTGCTGAATTCAGCCTCTTCCCGAGGAAAGACCACTCCCTGGTAAAAAAGAACTAAAGAGTTCACTGAATGAGCTGATAAGCAGATGCTTGAGAGCAAACTGGTCTCTCCTCTGCAATATGTACCTCAGTGTTTCTCTGCAATATGCTTCGAAAATTCTGCTTTTTGTGTGCTCGGGAGTTGTGATTTCTCCTGGAATAATCCAGAGAGTCATTTTAGGAGAGCCTCTGGAATTTGTTGCAAATAAAATCAAATGTGCTTAGTGACTTCCAGGTTCCCCCCAGCAATGTTCCCCTCAGCCCAGGGTTTCTGTGGAAAAAAAAGAGTGTGCTACCTTTTTGGAATACACATATCATGCAGTAAGCCTCACCTGTGGTGCCTCAAGAAGGAGACAAAAGCAAAAAAATCTTGAAAATAGAAAGAGAAAACTCACAGTGACTTTCATTAGAGATCTCTATTACCAAACAGCACAGGATTCATTTTCTTGTCTATTTTCACCCTCCTCTGAGGATGAATGATGATTAAAGGACAGGATAATAAGCAGGAGGAGGGGGGGGGGAATGAGAACTTGCTGAGAAGCAGTTAAAATTTATAAAAAAAGTAAGAGAAGGAGAAAGGAAAATAAGTGTTTCAGTTAACTAGTCAAGGTTAGCTTAGCACTGTGTCTGCTTTAACTGGCGTTATGAAAAATGCCAGTTGGCACAAAAGCAACTTCACTAGTGCTGAGCCTCATGAAATTTATGTTGACAGCTTAGAGTATTTGTTCTTCTAGGAGGTTTCTTAACCTCTCTGTGATGTCTTTTATATTTATTTTCTGATTGTTGGGGGGTAAGATTCCTATGCAAAGGCTGCAAATCAGCATGTTCATCTTTCACTGCCTGTTGCAGCCAAGGTAAGCAAGAAAAAACCCTTGAGGAAAACGAAGGGGTTCGAAGAACAACCGCTCTGTTTTTGGTGCTTACTGCTAAACGGGGAGGATTTTTGCAAAGGAGAAAAATGGTTTTGAAGAGAGCGGCAGGTCCCACTGCCGCTGGGTTCACCTCGGGGGTGCCCGTTTGGGGCTCCGGCGACTCCGCAGTGTTTGTCCCCTCTTTTTGCCCTCGCCTGAACCCGCACGAGTCAGTGGGGATACGGCTCCTCAGAAGCCACACGCCCCGGGAGCCTGGGCTGTAGATTTTCCCCGCTCCCTCCCTGCCTGCCCGCGGGACAGCGATGCCCGCAGGATAACGACGGGGGAACGCAGGGAGGACGCGGAGGGGGGCGCGGGGCGGACGCGTCTCGTCCCGTCCCCTCGGTGCCGCCGCTGCCCCGGCGGGGCTGGCTGCCGGCCCCCGTCCGTGGCCACCCCTCGGCCGCCCAGGAGAGGGAGCCCGGCGGCCGCGGCTGCGCCGGGAGCCGCGGGGCTGCGCCAGGCGGGGGGCGGCGCGCAGGGAGCGCGGCCCCGGCGGAGCCCCCAGCCCCGGCCTCCCGCCGCCCCTGCCCCGCCGCGCCGGGAGCGGCTCCCGGCCGCCCCTCCCGAGCCCGCCCCGAGGGGAACGCTGCTCCCCCGGGTCGGGGCAGCCGCGGCCCCCCCCCGAGCATCGCCCGTCGCGGGGGCGCGGTGCCGGTACTCACTGTCCGCATCAGTTCACTGAACCGGCTCGCAGCGCCCGGGCATCGCGCAGAGCCCCGGGCGTCCCGCAGCTCGGCGGGGCTCGGGACCGGGCAAAGTAATCCCGTCTGCGCTAAACTCCAGGAGAGCCGCTCCCGGAGCCCGGCTTTGCCTCTCGTCCCGGCTGCCCGGGACGTTTTTCCCCAGGAAGGCAGGAAAAGCTGCCCAGAAGAAGCTGCACCCAACCGAAGATGTTAGAGGAGGCGAAGGGGGCTGGCTTTTTGCCCGCTGCGTGCCTCCATGCCTGTCATTCCCTTGTCTTAATCCTTTAGGAAGGAGTCGCCAGGCAGACAGAGCGTTCCTGGAGGGGCGATGCTGCCGAGCCCTGCCCCGGGCAGAAAGAAGCCGGGAGATGCGTGGCCCGGGGCGGGCTGCGGGAGAGAATGAAGAGCTGCCTCCGCCTGCGCCTTTCCGAGAGGGAAAAAGCATGGTAAGAGCTGGACCCGATCCCTGGAGCGCAGCCCCGCTGAGCAGGAGGTGGGATTATTCCGGAGTAGTTATGGAGAGCTATAACCTGGCAGTGGAGTGTTAAAGCGACTTGTCCCTGCTGGAAGAGGAACCCACTGAGGGCACCGCCGGCGTTGTGGCCAAGGGAAGATCACTCACGTCCTTCTCCTCCTCTCGCCCTTCTTTCTGCATCCAGCGAACGGCAGTAGAAAGAACTGGTAGTCGGCTCTTGCCAGTGTTGGGAAAATACCGTGCCTTTTGCCTGGGATGATTTGCCCTCATGTGCCACTTCCACAGGATGTACAAAGTGCGACTGGAACTGATCTGGCCAACAAAGTTTGCAGAGTGATCAGCAGGGGCCGTGGGATGGAGGGAGCTGGGCACGCACCAGCAGGGTCCGTCACTCACGGTCTGACAGCACAGACCTGCTGCTCCCTTGAAAACTAACTCCTTGATGGTCCAACTCTTACTTTTCCTCTGCCAATTTGCACTTTCAGGGAAAACCTCCCCCCCCACACACACCATGCAATGCAGTGTTCCTGTGCTGGTTTTGTATATAAAATTTGCTATGCAATTACAAAACTAAAAGAGGAGGAGAGACGGCCCTGCATCCCAGAGCAAAGAGAGAATCAGAGGTGAAAGGTAGGAGCCAGCATTTCTTGTTTAAATGAAACTAAATAACCTGAGCTACTTCTTACTGAAAATCTTTAAAACACACCTACTGTATGTTTATGTGTTTTGTCTTGGAAAGGTAAAAGAGTTTGAAACAATGTGAAGATTTCCTTTCTGACACTGCCAAGAAACAGAGAACTGATGCATTTTGTAACAGGAACGTACTGAGGAGAAAGGATGGAGTGTTTCATCAGCGAGACATTTAGGGAACTAGTGAAAAGGCACTTTGTATAATACGCTTCAGTAAATATGAAGGGCTAGTGCAATGGACACTGGAAACACTCGATCAATAGTCTATTTAAGTGGGAATATATGCAAGCATGGAAAAGTGATTGCTTTTCTGTCTATGGGGTGTGTTTGGAGAGGACAGCAGCAGAACATTTGCAGGTGAGCTGTCTGAGTTAAGCTACTTCATGCTGGGGTGGTGCAGTGTGTTTCTGAAGGGATTGCTAAAAAACCCAGTCTGTAGGGTGGACTGTGTTTATGCATTTTCAGTTCCTGCTCGCAGAGCTTTCAGGATGTTTTTCAGGATAATTCAGATTGGGTGAGGTCCATCTGGGGGTGAAGGGACTATAAGAAAGGACCTTTGGTCTGTTTGGTGATGAGTAATTAATGGACGTCTGATGTCTTTGATCTCTGCAAGGCGAGGAGCTGATGTCGTCATGAAAATCATGATATGATTTTCCCTCAGGAGAAACTATGACTTGGAACGACACCAGTATGGACGGGGAAGGGTTGCTGGCGGAAAGGGACTCCTCTTCCTTTCGGATCCTCACAGGCTGCTTCCTCTCGCTACTGATCCTCTCCACGCTGCTGGGAAACACGCTGGTCTGTGCAGCTGTCATTAGGTTTCGCCACCTCAGGTCCAAGGTGACCAACTTCTTTGTCATCTCCTTGGCTGTGTCAGATCTCTTAGTGGCAGTTTTGGTCATGCCTTGGAAAGCTGTGGCTGAGATTGCCGGTTTCTGGCCTTTTGGTTCATTTTGTAACATCTGGGTGGCCTTTGATATTATGTGCTCAACAGCCTCCATCTTAAATCTCTGTGTCATTAGTGTGGACAGATACTGGGCCATCTCCAGCCCATTTAGGTATGAGAGGAAAATGACCCCCAAGGCAGCCTTCATCATGATCAGCGTGGCGTGGACTTTGTCCGTGTTGATTTCCTTCATCCCCGTGCAGCTGAACTGGCACAAGGCTACAACCACAAGCTTTTTGGACTTAAATGCCAGCTTACAAGGTGTAAGCATGGACAACTGTGATTCTAGCCTAAACAGGATGTATGCCATCTCCTCTTCTCTAATTAGTTTCTATATACCTGTGGCCATCATGATAGTGACTTACACGAGGATATATCGGATTGCTCAGAAGCAAATACGACGCATCTCAGCTCTGGAGAGAGCAGCAGTGCATGCAAAGAACTGCCAGAACACGAGCGGCAACAGGAGCAGTATGGACTGCCAGCAGCCAGAGAGCAACTTCAAAATGTCCTTCAAGAGGGAAACAAAGGTTTTAAAGACTCTGTCAGTGATCATGGGGGTGTTTGTGTGCTGCTGGTTGCCATTTTTTGTATTGAACTGCATGATTCCCTTCTGCGAGCCTACCCAGCCATCCAAGGGAGCAGAGGCTTTCTGCATTAATTCCACCACCTTTGATGTTTTTGTGTGGTTTGGATGGGCAAATTCTTCCCTCAACCCCATCATTTATGCCTTCAATGCTGACTTCCGCAAGGCATTTTCGACCCTGCTGGGCTGCTACAGGCTCTGCCCAATGTCTGGCAATGCCATAGAGACTGTGAGCATTAACAACAATGGGGCGGTAGTTTTTTCAAGCCAACACGAGCCCAAAGGGTCCAGCCCCAAGGAGTCTAATCTGGTTTATCTGATTCCACATTCAATTATCTGTCCAGAAGAAGAACCTCTCAAAAAGGAAGAAGAGGGTGAACTATCTAAGACCTTGGAGAAAATGTCTCCAGCACTGTCGGGTATCTTGGATTATGAAGCTGATGTTTCTTTGGAAAAGATCAATCCCATTACACAAAATGGGCAGCATAAAACCTGAACAGTAAAGTTTACTAAGCAAGACCCAACGGTGTATATTGTAATAATCTTTTGGGGAAAAATACAAGATTTTTTTGGTAAGAAACTAAGCTCTAGGGAGAAAAATACACATTTACACCAAGCCCAGAATTAATTTTCCTGGCATTCAAAGCAAATTTAACATTTTAAACAATAAACAGAAAAAGGTACTGGAAATTGGTTATAAAAAAAGATGTTAAACTGTACTGTTCATACTGAGGAAAATACACAAATTTAGATACAGTGCAGTGACAAAGAAAATATTGCTTCTCTACACAGAGAAAACAATTTTCAGCTTAAAGTGAGGCAAAAGATAAATGTTGAGTATTTAAAGATTAATGTTTACTAGAAGTAAAAAGATTGCTGTGTCTTGTGATAGTGGGTGTTAACAGGTCCTATTTAAAGACTGAGAGATTGTAAAGGTAGGTAGATGCCTTCTTAAAATTATTTCTGAAAAATAATTGAGCCTTATAATGAGAATGGTTATTTTTAAAGCTTTGGGAGGTAATATGTTGATACTGGTTTTATTTATTTATTGTTTTAAATTGATATTTTTCATATGTTATAACAGATCTAGCTTTATTTATGTTATTTAAGATGTCTAAATAATGGGATATTTTTGGAGTGTCATAACTGCATTTTGACCAGTCAACCAGTCAGCACTTTATTACAAGCTCGGATAGTCTGGAGAGCTGGTGAGGGGAATAGAGGAATGTTAAGAAGCTCGGCAAGAAATGAAGGAATCAACTAAACCGATGCTGTATGGAGTTCGTTTGCTTGTGGGCTTTTTTTATCTTTAAGTGGGATTTCTTTCAAAAGATAGGACCAGCGTTGACTGAGTTGTGAATTCTCTTCCCTTATAGAAATAAAAGAAATTGCTGCTATTTATTTTTAAAAAGTTTCATGTTACAAAGACTTTGCTAGAATGTCAAGTTTGTGGATCTGTAAATACCTTAAATATGACTACAACCTTAAGAAGAATCCAATTTGGGAAGGAGAGCGTCTTAGATAACAATTCTTAGTATATAATGTTTTGTATTTATGTAAGATAAACAGCTTTCTCAGACTTTTCTTATTTCAAGTCTTGGATATCTTTTCTGAACAAACACAATGGGTTATAATGGTAGTAAAGATGCCAAACGTCGTTATCACTGGTGTTACTGCAGGACCACCTGGGTCATTCTGTCTGTCTGCTACTCTATCACGGTCAGAACTAAAACGTGAGGTACCTGGTGCTTTACTTTGGGAACCGGGAGGACATTACATTTTAGTAATTGCCGTGTCAATAGTCCATTCAATAAGGAATAGTGCCTCATTACCATTTTGGATTAAGACATTTCGAAATATGGATGGAACTGCAGCCCCCACCTCAAAATCCTCCTGTGAACTCCAAAAAAGTTGCCAATGTTTAATTAAAAAAACCTGCTACTTCTCCATTGTCCTTCCCTGCTGCTTCCCTTTGTAATGCCAAAAGCAATCGGTGAGCATTAGCAACAGGAACATTGGGTGTTAATAGTCAGCAGCGTTCAAAGAAATCGATTTCTTTTCTGAATGAGAGAAAATACCCCTTGGAGCAACTTTTTCATAACATATATCAAAAAAATGTGTTGTCAGGAAAAGAGAACTGAGAGGAAAAAAAAATTTAACAAACTATATACATCCTGCATCAGGTCTGTGTATTTATGTATTGTGAATGTTTTCATAATTTTATTGCCTGTATGCTGCTTTCATACATATAATAAAATTATTTTGTGAACAGAAGGTCAAATAAAACAATCTACATTGCATTTATTAAATTCATGCTGTTTTTTGGCAGTTGTATTGATCGTGTTAAAGGGAAGGACAGTTCATTTTTTTCCCCATTTGCCTTTAATTGGCATCACATCCATAAGGCCGATGGGAATTTCTATTAGAAGCAGGGGAAACCTCCCTACTGGAGACCTCTGAGCCCTTGCTCTAAACTAGGATTTGAAAGCAGTAAAAGCAGCTTGGAAACAACCACTCACTTTAGATGTGTAAAGCTCGACCTGCTGGTGACTCTTACTTCAAAGGTATTTTTTGCCTTGGTGTAACAGCATAATGAACTTGGTTTATAGAATGCTTTTATTATTGGCTTTTTTCTTTCTCCCCCCCCCCCTTTTTTTCCCCCACGCTGTGGAGTCTTTCTCAAAGCCTGATACAACCCCTCTGCTAGTTTCTGTTTTTTGGAGCAAAATGAATAATTTCAGAAGTGATGTGATGGTGGGTGCAGGAGGTGTCCTCCTGTTCCTGGCAGCCCTGTACTTTGTTTTTGCCTCTGTCAGCAGATTAATTTTGAATTGAAGAAACAAACCTACGTTGTCACTTCTGCCTTGAGCATTTACAGCAGGACCCGTCCAGCATCTGGGACTGAAGTTGGTGCAGGAGCTGCTGGGATGTCCAGCTCCCCCTCCCTGGGTGCTCCTGGGGGTCAATGAAGCAGCAGGTCTGAGGCAGACAGGGCATCGTGGCTGCCTCCAACCTGTCTTAACTCCTTCAGTAAAATTCCCCTGCATGTTGTAATGCCAGATTTTTTTTTTTTTCTGGGTACCTTTGAGGAATTACTTTACTTCTTAAAAAGTACATGGGCCAAAAATAAAGTTCTGTGTTTCTTACTTATTCTCAAATCTCCCAGCAGTCTGATACAATAGCAAAATACAGAGTAAGATTTAAGGGTGTCATGTAAAGCAAGAGGCTGTTTTTGCATTAGTTTGTAGGGAGTGATTTGTATTCTGAAACAAATAGTTGCTCTGCTGCAACCAGGAGCCATCCCAGGACCTCCCTCCTTGCAGATGGAGCTGAGTTTCAGGGGGCTCCGTGAAGGTTGGTGAAGTGCTGCTGCTGTTGCTGCTGGAGTGATGGGCACCCTGTGAGAAGCAGGGCAGGGGAGGCACTTGGATGAGTTTAGTTTATTGTTTTCTCTCTCCTTCTGTTTAAACTAATTTTGGCTTCTGACTCCTTTTTCTTATATACCTTTTAAAACACCACGAATTGGCCTTGATCTTCATTTAGCAATGTACCTCATTTACCCCTTTTTTCCAGCCTTCCCAGTGGGTTTCTCTACCTGTCCTCTCTGCTTTTCCTTCCGCCACTGCCAGAGCCTTTCTGTTTGTTTGGTTTTTCTTTGCCACAGTAATGCTTTGCTTGGAAGAAAGTCCAAATTAAAATCCTTCCCCCCAGCACGGCCGAGAGTCCCCTTCCCACAGCCTGCACTCAGAAATGCCTCTTACCTGTTGCAGAGCCTGGAGAGCAGTGTCAGGAGTGACTAGAAGGAACAACAGCATGTACCTGCCAACTGCTGCTCTATTTATGTGCTGAGTTAATTGCTCAGAAGCTGTATTACCTGCTTTGTGCCTGCTCCCCAGCTGCTCAAAACCAGTGGTCTGCCCTTTTCTCCCTGCCTTGTTGCCCCCAGCAGTATTTTCCTCTGCAGAGTGAACCTTGCCATGTCCCTTTCTGCAGATAACCCAGGCAACCTTTTTTCCTGCATTGCTTCCTCGTGACTGAAGGTATTTTTCTGTTTGTGGATGGAAGAGGTTAATAATTCACCTGATGGCCTTGATGAAGGAGCTGTTTGCAACGAATGAACCGTAATCACTAGATTAAATCTGAATACATTTCTCCCTTCCATGTCAAGCATTTTATGCTGATTTGATTTTCTAACGTGACAAAACATGCAAAAGATAGAGGATGAAGGATGCCTTTGCTGAGGTATAGTTTTAATGACAGTTATTGAGAGCCAGTCCTGGATTTTTTTCAAATCAATAGTTTTCAGAAGCACCCAAATCTGATTGAAATCTCCAAAGCCTGCTATGCTAAGTATCTTGAAAGGCAGATTATTCCACTAATTATTTTGGTTTTTAATATAATGATGGCAGAATATGTTCCTAGCGATACCACCTACGTGGCCACACAATCAATGTGACAACAAATAAGGAACAATGGTATCTATTTCATAGTTTTTAAAAGATGAAAACAGATATCCAAAGTGTTCTTGTACTGGTCTGTTGCAGTAGAGGTGGGCTGTGGGCTGAACCAAGTGTTGAGCCCCAGTTTTGAATAAGGTTGGTGCTGATCCCCTCTTTTGAGAGAGGGTCTGGGCTCTCTGGGTGCCTCATGAACCTTGCAGGTGGCTGCTGGGTGTGCATGATGATACTCTTTCCACACCCCGTATCTCAAATTTGGGGTTGCACTTGTGAACACCAGCCTTCCCAGAGGGATCTGCTGAGCCCTGTGCTGCTGGCCCTGCTGCCCTCCCCTGCCAGGCACAGCTCCTTCCAAACCACTGCTGCCAGTGTGTTTCTACAGATTTCTATAGTATTTTTTGAGGCTGAACATGTAAATCAAGTATACGGTGGTTGTTTTCATGTTGGTTGTTTTACAGTCACAGTTAGAATGAAGTGGGAAGTTTCTGGTCTGCCTGTTCTTACTCTGTTTCTAGGAAAAGCTCTGGGCAATGGTACTGCTGCCCTGCTGTGCTTCTGGCCATCGCTTTTCTATTTTGATTGTGTTTCCCTTTCAGTCGTGCCAGGCTGTTCCTCCCTGTTTCGAGGAGGGATGTTCCTGCTGGTTCTTTGGTGAAGGAGTTTCCTTGGTGCCCGTGGGTGCAGCAGTGATGGATGGCACTGATGGAGGGGTGCAAATCCTTCTACCTGCCACCTGAAGCTACAACCACACACCCGGACCGTGGTTGTGCGCTGAAATAACGTGATCGACATCAGTGGCATGGCTTTAGTTCCTGTCCCTCTGGATGGGGTTGGCTTCACCCAGAAAGGTGGTGTGGGGATCAGATGGATACCTTGGGTCTATTCATCATCACCCTGGGAGGTACTGAGGTGGATGTTTTGGTATAAAAGAGGCATAAAAGAGAAAGGAACTCCAGGGTTGGCTGCAGGGGAGCAGCACTGGGATGGTGACACAGGGAAAATCCTTTGCCCAGGTGCCCTGCTGGAATCCTGGGCCTCCAGAGAGGGATGAAGGAAGAGCCCAGGTCCAGGCCAGACCCAAGGACCAAAGCAGCTCCCAGTCCCTGCATCATCACAGGGCTGGCTTGGTGGGGAATGTGATTCTCTCTTGGGGCCAGGCTTTGACCAGCCTGAGGAGGCTCAGCACTGCCCAGGAATGCTCAGTGGGTGAGCTGGTCTGGCTTTGGGCTGTGATTTGGCTCAAAAAAAAAAAAAGAAATTTGTAATCGTGTCTGTGGCAGGGGGTCTGTACAGCTAAATTACACTTTGCTTTACTGCAAATAACTCATGCATTCGTGTTTCTCGTATCTCCTATATTTGCTGTCAGTAGCTCCACTCCAAACCAGTTGCATTTTTTCCTGTTTAAATAGTTCCCACACAACTGAACTAGAACTGCTTGTGGGATGTTCCAAATAACAACAACAAAAAACCCAAATCAAACAAAAAAAATTAGAAGAAAAGTTGTTTGTATATATAATTTTCGGATTAGCTGACATTTTCAAAATTAATTTCTCTATTTTTAATGTACTTTTCAGTTTGCAGTGTGAGATTTTTAAACTCTGATCTCTGGTTTGAATATTCTGACAAAGTTAAATGTTAAAAATAAAAGGAAACAGGTTAATATGACTTGCTTTAAAAAATTTGATTGTTAAAAATCTTTTCCTACTCCATCCTTTGATTTTCAAATAAAAAACTTCCTATTAATTTCACATTTTCCTAAGAGGAGGAAATTTTTTGAGGTCTTGAAAGATGACACAGAATGAGAAATATTTGCTTCCCAGATTCTCCTTTCACTGAGAAAGAGGAATCAAACATTTTGCTGACCTACACCACCACTGCAAAGTTTCTCTTAATTTCAGAGGGAATTATGGATTCAGACACTCGGAAATTTCCCTCTGTATTCATTTTGTTTCTCTCTTAATAAAGGAGTTCCCAATGGCTCCATATTCTTAATGAATTGGGTGCCACTCTGTGTCAGTAGCAATAATTTATTTTCTTGCACATGTACACACACACAAAATCCATCCTTCTCAATTAGTAGATTCGTGGAGCATGGGGAAGGGGACGAGTGGTGAACTTAAATGAGTATTTCTTTGCTACAGAAGCAGGAGATGAACCAGGCCTGTATCATCTGCATTAAAAGGACAAACCCGATCTTTCATGCCAGCAGTCCATGCCTGAGAGGCAAACAGTTAAAATAATTGTAAAAACACTTTGAAATTGCTCCATAAAAGATGTTTTAAATAAAAATTAAAATGATTTAATGATGCTGTTACTTTTTGACTTCCTTGTTTTCTAAGGTTTCTGTAGCTACATCTGTAATGATTTCAGAGTAGTAAATGGGACTACCCAATTTCATTCTCTTTGCTTTTCTGTGCTATATCAGACTTTGACATCCATTTGTGTTCCCAGCTGAAGAGACTCTGCTGCAGCAGCTCCTCCAGCCTGATGACACTTGCTGAAACCCTGGATCCCACTGGCTCTGTTGGGATGTGGGACAGCAGTGAAAGCAGCCTCCTGGAAAGAGCTGCTTTTGAACAGTGGGAGATAATTTTTGAGCAAAACCATTGACTTTTCTATTGGTATCTGTTTTGTAGGTCCAAAACCTAATCCATTTTCATATTTTTCCTGATTTGCAAACAGTTTGAGTTAATTTACTGAAAACCAAGGCTTATGGCTTCAAGAACACCAGTATTTTCTAAGTGAGAAAGACTTTAACATTATAATAGCTATAATTTCAGGAATAATTAAATATGATTACAATCCTTACAGAGTAGAACATTTTTGATGCATTTTGCTCACGT